TCTTTGTCTTTTTTAAACAGATTTAGATCAGGTTGTCCTGCTTTTTTACCAATTTAATTTTGGAGTTTTCAGGCAGGGCAAAGGTTAATCGCTGTTTTGCAATTTCCCATTGGATTCCGCAGCAGTGACATACGTAATCGTATAAAGCAATATGTGTACATTAACTAACATAGGTTGAATTGTAACCTATGTTAGTTAATGTTATGTTATATTAACAAAAATAAAAAATAAAATGATGTTTTAAAACATCCCCCATCCATTGTGGTATTTGTAACTAGGTTTTGTAAATGTATAAACATGTCAGAAGCAAGAAAGTAATCAGACATTACTTTCATATTCATAGATATCTTTATACGATATAGGTATATAATTCTTCTGTGCGCGTGTATGTGACTGAAATTCTCCTAAACGACTGGACCGATTTTGATGTTTTTTTTGTGTGTGTTGAAATGGCTTCATGAATGGTTTATTTTCGTTTTCTAAGTTAAATACGTGTTTACAGGACAACGTCTGCCATGTCCGCTAGTATAACTAAAAAACATTATATATTAAAATAAATCTATAGTGAATGTGGAATAAATAGCCTCTTGAAAAACGTGTCGAGAAGGCTGATTTAGCCACGTTCAGCGGTCACGAGAAGCGTCACTAGGTTGTGTTGAAAAGATTATTATGAATGGTGTAATTCGAACATGGTTTGTTTTTTGTTCGCGGATAAAATGTACACCAATTTTTTAAATTAAAAGTCACGAGAAAGCGCATAAAATAAAAATCCTAGCGTAGAACGAATTGATTCGGCACATGATGAAAATGCGTGCACGTGCATATCACATAGTTTGATTAGAATTGAGGATTATTGATTACTGCAGCCTCATTTACTGCAAGTTGTAATAAATGTTGTAAAGACAGTATTGTAGACGAAGTATTTGTTAAATCGGAAAATATACCTTTGTTAAACGTTACATATTTATTTAAACTTAATGACCTCGACCGGTGTTCAGGTGATGTAGAAATATGATGTGGTAGGTGCAAAGATAAACTATCAAATTTGTCGTAGTTCATCGTCATCATCAACAGCCTTTACTAGAACACTACTGGACATAGGCCTCTTCATAGAAATTAGGTATAGGCCTACTATGTCGTCGTAGTACATAGTTTGGTAAATAAAAGATAAGCGTACATTAGATATATACATATATATACATATATTATTATATTTACATATAAGTCCAGAAGTATACACAATGTAGACACTCAATATAAACATATACATACATTAATTGAATATCTATACTAATATTATAAAGCTGAAGAGTTTGTTTGTTTGAACGCGCTAATCTCAGGAACTGCTGGTCCGATTTGGAAAAATTCTTTCAGTGTTAGATAGCCCATTTATCGAGGAAGGCTATAGGCTATATATCATTACGCTAAGACCAATAGGAGCGGAGCAACAATGAATAATGTTTCAAAAACTGAGATTTATTACTATTGAAAGACGCAGACGAAGTTGCGCGGGTCAGCTAGTCAAATATAAATACACAGTCAGGTACTAGCGTTGTGACTGTTCTGCCAATTCATTCTGAAGAAGTTCGCGCACTTTTGACTTGAATGTAAGGCGGTTTGTGGATATCCTGATTTCGGCAGAAAGTTCATTGCAGTGAAGCACTGACTACACGTAGAAGGAAGAATTGATAAAGTTGGAGATGTGAAGGGGGTAAAGAAGAAGCATATTGTTTGTTGATCGAAGCGGAAGGGGGAACGAGGTATTCAGGTATCGATGGAGAGAGTTGAGGAAAGAGAAAAGAGAAGCCACTGCTCGCAGACTACGGCGTTGACGAATTGGTACCAATTGGATTTGGGAGCGTAAAGTAGACACATGAAATGTAATGCAATGCAAGTTATTGAGAAGGCGATCTCTTTTATTGAGAAGGTCTGTATTCAGGTCAAAATAATACACATCACCATATATATTGTGTCTCTAATTCTATTAATATTAATATCGAATTCTAATTATTCAATTAAAAAAGTTAGGGACTCAAAGATAACTAGTAAGATTTTTTGTTTGTAAAAAACATATTTTTATTGCAATTACCCACCTACTTACGCACTTATTGCCTCATAAGGCAATAAGTGAGTAAGTGGGTAATTGCAATAAAAAATATTTTTTTGCCGACTGCGCCAGACGAGGGTTATGTTATTCGAGTGTATCTGATGAAACCTCTACTTCTATGCTAATATTATAAATGCGAAAGTGTGACTTTCTGTCATCTCTTTTTAAACTGCTGAACCGATTTAGATGAAATTTGGTATACAGATAGTTTGAGTACCAGCAAAAGGACATAGGATAGTTTTTATCCCAGCAAATATCTTTTAAGAGGGTGAAAAGGGGGGCAGAGGTTTGTATGGAGAATCCATAACCGCTGAGCCGATTTAGATGAAATTTTGGTAGGGAGATAGTTTGATTCTAGAGGAAGGACATAGATACTAACACTACTACTAACTAAACACGCTCGCAAAAGCTATTGGCACCCTCTGTAACGGCTTCAAAGATTTTGGCTTGGAAGGTGTCGTTAGGTTCGTATTCATTGTTAGAGTGGCACAAAGTATATGAAAATAATAAAAAGTGTAAGTTCAAATTGGTTAAGAACATACAACTAAATGGCCGTACATATATTGAAATAAGTATTTAATGTTAATTTCAACTTGATACCACAACTCAGAAAAAGGCTCTTGACAGCGAGAGAGAGAGATAAACACACAGACAGACAATAAAGTGGTTGTATTTATCCCTTATTAGAAATGGAACCCTAAAAATACAAGTCGATTCTATTACATTAAACCAAATAACGTGTATTATTTCATAGTGAATTGTAGTGTGGAGGCAGAATTCAGCCAATGTTTGCAAAGGCGTCTGTTGATACTCATTCGTTTGTCTACCTACACCTTGTTGTCATAACATAGGACAAGGATATACCAAGGCTTCTACAACATTGTAACACCATTTTAGTTTTATAATTGAGAGTATAGAATCAAGTTATGCTGGAGAATACAAGAAAAATTGATTAAAGAATAAAAAAATGACTATAAAAGTAAGTAAACAAATAAACAAAAAGTTTGTGATAAGTAGCAGGGTTGTTATAGAACTGGAGGACCGTGTATCCGAAATGTGTGAATGTATCCGAAACCGTAATCGAATTTGATGTAAAATTTCTTAAGATAGACCGATAGTCAATCGCTTCAAAACAATATGGCGTTAACCACATTTTTAACATAGAATTGTAGCTACATATAAAATAGCGCATACTATGTTTATTCATTCTTATAAAACTTTTCTTTCAACTAGCTAAGAATTTGCAACTAATGGGCAGTACTTTTATTATAGACTAGCTGACCCTGCAAACTTTGTTTTGCTATTTACATTATTTAATTATTATTTTTTTGAATTTCTTAAAATCCGTTCTTAGCTGACCTCTACTCGGTGAAAAGAATATTCCTACCAAATTTCAAGTCTTTAGCTCTAATGGTTAAAGAGATATCGTGATGAGTGACTATATACGTGGAAATCTCTTAAACTAGACTATATATATATATATATATAGATATAGTCTAGTTTATGTTAATTAGTATATCGTTTAATCCATCTAACTTATTTTATATGCATCAATAAATCAGTTTTACACTGCTTAACGAACTGTTAACAGTGAGTTGTAAATAATGCCTATTATTTAAATACTTAATTACTTTTACTTAAAGCTGTATTACAAAAAATAAATGTACATGTTTTATTTTGATTTTACCTTTCTCTGAACATATTCGCAATTTGCCCGTTTTATCCACGAAGTGCCCGATTTATAGAAAGTACGTCAGTAGGCCTTAATTAAAGTCCAGTCTTGAGAAATCCTTAAATAGTTATTATAAATGTGTTATTAAACACATCAAGCACAAAGATTAAATTTCTAATTAACAGTTTCTTTACAAATTTAAATTCGCCGTATGGTCAAACGCTTCCGTCTTTAAATTTGATTTAAATAAATAGAGGCAATGACCATATACACATATGTTTTGTTAGTTAGATCATAAATGTCAAGATATAAAAGATTTAATGAACGTTTTATCTTACTAGAATATAAACATTTTCATAGTCCTTTTAGCAAGCAGAATAACCAGTTCGAAATGTTCAAACTAGGTTTTTATTAGAGATATTTATTTGCGATGTAGGTCAATAATAAAATAGTAATTAATTAATACCGTTAACTATTAATTAATTACTATGTATGTAACTACGTGTATGTAAGTTAAATACTTGTATTAGAAACAATTTAACCTCGATAATACACTCAGAGTAAATGCAGGTCGAAATTTCACCAAATTTTGTTGTTAAGTTTAGTTGTCTGTTGTTGTGTTTAAAAATAGATTTGCCCGCCTAAATATGAAGCTGTTTAAACATTGTGATCTTACAACAAATATATAGAAAGCGTGGGCCATGAATCTCTCCGTGAGATTTACTTGCAATCTCCTTACCAATATAGTTAAAACCCTGCTTAGCCAGTTCCCTTACTACTTTCTCTTTAAATATATAGCAAATACAACTCTTGTACCTAGAAATATTACGACATAAACCGTATTATCTATGAACCGTATACATTATCAAAGGTAATAAATAATATAGTTATGTACCGATACCTAAGCAATAACACATGAACGTTTGTTTCGCAACAGTAACTAACAGTCATATAACCCTCCAACTTGAACAGAAGCGTTTCATTGGAATATATGAAATCATGTCCAACCCGTGATTACAAGAATTCAAACGCCGATAACAATTTCATTAGGAGAGAAAGAAAATTAAACAAAACGTTATTTCTTAGAAATGTAACGTCCAACGGAATTTAATCTCCCACGGTACGTATGTGGAACAAATGTGGAGCGTTTGGTGTATTATTTATCGAAAAATTTACTAAATTTAGCAGACAATAAATTTATGAGACTACTTAGGTACTTACTTGTATAAACGGAGGCGCAGGTGGACTTGTGGCAGGCAAGGCAGGACGCCTTACCGTCGAGGTTGAGGGTGAGCGTGGGAGCCAAGCTGGGGCGCGGGCACAGCTTGCAGCCACCATTGTACTTCTCGCACAGACACACGTTTTTGTCAAGACCCTCCACTTTAAGCTCGTTCAGCCCAAACTTGTCGGTTTCTTGCTTCACCAACGAGGCTGCCAGCTTGTCCGTCTGATTCACGAATTCGCACGAGTTCGGGCAAACGTGACATCGCTTTCCTTCCAAGTTCCTGTTCGCCTCGGTGATCACGTTGTCATTTTGATTCGTGTCGTACTGTCCATCCTGGTTCTTGTTCGTGCTGTCGGTGCTGCCCGTCATGTACGACGTGAGAGTCACCTCCGACGAGGACCGCACTGTATTGTTCATCTTATATTTCGTCATTGTCTCTCAAACTTTCAAAAATCTAAAATACTGTTTTGAACGCTGAGCCGCGAGACATTTTATTTCGACAATAGCATTACAATCTTTTACTTAAAATAATCACAACACAAATAAATTAAATATATTTTATGATCATTATCACAGATAGCTATTAGGAATGTCAACTTATATCCTTTTTTAATTAAGTTTTGTTTCCGATTTATTTGAAAATATTTATTTGGAGTTCGAATATTTATCCGCAGCGGTTATTTCTGTCGGTTGTTTGCGTCCGAGTGAGGAGTGTTGTTGTGGCCGGGTGGCGCGCTCGGCCGACTCTGCCGGCTACTGGAGATGGAGTGAGGCGTGCTGTGGCGAAATGGCGCGAAATAAGACGCGCCGCCACACCACACCTGCAACAAGGGTTGGCATTAGAACTCATTAGAACTTGAGACCAAAACAACAGCGCAGAACTGCATCGTTTCAAGGACATTCGGCCGCGCACAGATATCAAATTGCAAAACCTCTTTCTGTTCAGTTTTTATGCATAATACATACCTCTATATTTAAAATAATAATAATATATTTATTTGCGTCTAACATGAAATAGAATGGTGTTCGATAATATTTGTAACTTCGTTGGATTATCGGTTTATAGGCATTGTTCTCTCTGTACCTAAGTCTTTTAGTACTCATTTTCATACTATTTAAGACTCTCATGTTGGCTGAATTTTAAGTTGACAAGGACTTAGGACGGCTCCCTGTCAAGACCGTTTTCCTCTACAGCTACGGACCTCCCATACTAGAATGCATTTTTTTAAATATAGTCTATTTTTCTGTAGAAACCTTCGATCAAACCGTTTATTGGATCGAAGTCAGAAAGGTATTATACTATAAAAGCTATCATTGAGAAGCCATGCATGTACTAACTGTAATGATTTGGTATGTTCATCGAGGAATGTCATGTAATACTAATCAATGTGGGTATAAAATACCACAGCTGGCGTAAAATACATTACAACAATTCTACCTAAGAAACTTAACTTGAAAGCGACAAGTTCGGGTTGAACGAGCTTAAAGTGGAGGGTCTGGACAAGAACGTGTGTCTGTGCAATGGTGGCTGCAAGCTTGGCTTCCACGCTCACCCTCAACTTAACTTGATACTCGTTATTGTATTAATTTATAAATTTATTAAATTTATAAAACTGTCACATCATGCTACAGGCATGCTCTATGTCTTTGAACATTATATCTAATAGACTGACATGAAAACTTATGTGGGTGGTTTTAATTTATTAAAAACTAGCTGACCTGACCAATTTCGGCTGCGGCTCTCAAAAGGAATAAATTTTATAATGTTATTGTAACATTGTTGATTGGTCCTATTGGTCTTAGCGTGAAGTTTTATAGCCTTTCAATTCGGACTAGTAGTAGTACCGGAAATTACCCCGAACATTCAAACTCACAAACTTTATCTGTTTACAATAATAGTATGGATATACTACCGTTTTACTTATTTTGAGGACGCCCGTCTAGTTTGGCCCCAATGATGTCATGACTTTTTTATATTGATTTCTAATAGAAATGTTTTAGCCTATAACGGATAAAGGCCTTAGTCTGTATCGGTTATGGTCGACATCTTACATGATAACCTTAAAAGTTGAATGTCTATTGTACCTTTAATAAATGAAACGTAAAGCGAACTTTATTATCTCTAAAAGAAACATACGTTTTATTTTATATAATCATTTTTTATATTGTCAGGCCCAATTTATACGAGCTACTCAACTGTTTAAAATACCAACAGACAAGCAAATAGATACTTTATAAGTAAGTAGCTAGGGATCTGGATAATGTCTGATGAGGTAATTACTTTATGACCCACGTAGACAGCGAGTTTTCAAAACCAATCTTAGATCAAAGTATAAGCAATAAAGGCCAAGTTTATAGACTCTCACTGTGTAAATATTATATCGTATCTAAGTAATATTTTTTTACAAATTTCACTATTTGTTAGTAGTACTATAAGAAGAAGAAGAAGAAAGAAAGATACTAGTAAGAGTTCTAGAGCAAACCTTTTTCTAGAAGTTTAACTACCAGCAGTACCGTCCACTTGCCCAGGGCTGCATCGTCACGGGGCCCCGAAAAGCAAATACATAGAGGGATATTTTCGTTTATACTATACAATTTTGTTTTCTATTTTACTTTGATATAATTCGACAAAAATAGATAGCTAATAATATTTATTCATTCATTTTGTTTTACTGTCAAACAGAGCCCCAAATTCTTGTGTACCCGGGGCCCCGGCATGACCTTTGACTACCAGCTACACTTAGTATGGTAGACAGCACTGTTGAAACATTTTATTTACGTACGATGCAATGTTTAGTCTCGTGAAGACTTTCGTCTGGTTTAATTAATCGCTAGATTGAGGCCAAACCATGCCAAAATGTATGTAATGATAGTGACTATCCGTTTTTCTTTCACAGCTCCCTTGCACTATCCGATAGTGCAAGGGAGCTGTGAAAGTTAACGCAAATGTTGGATGAGGAGGACACTGTACAGAGCCAGTAATATCTTGAAGAGGCCAAGATATTACAGATTATTAAGATATTTACATACCTGAATCTCCTGTATAAGGTGTATCCTGAATGTCCTGTATAAACTCAATGAGATTATAAGGAAAGGAAAGGGCACGGATTACACAATTTATTTTAATGATATTTTGTTATCATTAATTGGCAGCTGTGTGACTACAAACGACTGTATTACTGTCTGTAATGACAATAAAGCGATTGGGTGTATTTCTTTTATGTTTAAAAGTGCCTGGTCATGTACACTTTTTGCAGTTTGATTATTCAATATATGTATTATTATTTTGCGAGATACATTAATTTCCTGTGACATTATAATGTTTGATGAAAAAATTGCTATTTACTTCAAACAACATTTATGTATGTACATATATGTTATTTAAGTGCGCAAAATTACTGGCTTCAGTTGTACTCGTATAATCTTTATGAAAATTAACTTTAATAATGTCATTATTATAATTATTATTTTTGTACAAAAAGGAAGGGGTCATCATATTGTAACCTATAGTGGGGACCTCAGGGGTGTCATTTATGTGTTGCTAAAATCATTATTATCAACAGCCTCTAATAGTCAACTGCTGGACATCAGCCTCTCCTTAAGATGGAGGTTTTGGCCTACTATACCTCGCTGGCCAGACTGGTTGGTATAGGATTTCTCTCAAGTATTTCTTCTCTTTGCAGTGCTGTTGTCTGTTGCCAACATATCAACAAAGAGTTCACGAAGTCGCAATTGTGAGTGGGGCATAAGAGAAGCAAATTATTTGCAGAGCCAAGATTCCTGTCGTGATTAGACGAGAAGAAACGGAGGTAGGGAGCAAGGTAAGTAGGTGAGGATGGGAAGATAAGAAATGAATATGAAGAAGTCAGAACTCGCTGATTGCGGCGCAGGCGAACGGCTAACCAGTTCAGTTGGGAACGTAAGGCAGACACGTGGTCATACTTGAGAAGGTTGTAAATTTAACGAATGCAGTTATTAAGAAGGTGGTCCAGCTTTAAGGGTTATCTAACAATCGACTGCGCGGATGTGATGGCGGAATGGTTTAAGGTCATAGCTCATTAGAGCTACCCCACACTGGACCAGCACCACCTCGCCTCGAGCAGTTAGTATTCTATGTATGGAGTACTATGTGTATACGCTCACCACCATCAACTCCGGTGTAGAGTTGAAGTTATGGCTTGTAGAGTTAGAAGTTTGGCTCCACATGAGATCTGATAACTTATTGTCATTGCGAGCCATATAGTCTCTCGGCAAGATTTTGGCAAATGTCAAAAAAAAAATGTGCAACTACTTTTATAACTGCGTATGTATGTTTGTTTGCTACATATTCATGCTTTAAATGGTGATGGGAATCATGAAAGGCCTTATAGTAGAGTAGAGGGATCAAGCGGACCGAAACGACCTTCAAACCTTAAAGAAAAGAGCGTACTCCTTCCTAAAAGGCTGGCAACGCGTTTGTGACTCCTGAGTTGCAGACGTTCTTGGGCGGCGATGGTCACTTTCCATCAGGTGACTTGTCTGCTCGTCTGCCTCCTCTAACATAAAAAAAATTCTCATGGAGTTTTTAAAAGTCAAATACGAAAAAAAAATACTTACTCCTAATATTAAAGATCAAAGATTCGCCCCAAAATATACATCCATATGAAAAAATTATTTGAACAAGTTTTAACTTCTTTTGCGATAATAATATTCATTAATAAAACCTTTGAACTTTTTTTTTTTTTCCACCTACACACAACGCCATCTAGTCCCAAACTAAGCAGAGCTTGTACTATGGGTACTAGACAACTGATACAAATACATATATACTTTTTTTGTAAATACATACACATTATACACAGAAACAACCAGACCAAATCAAACATCAAATGTTCATGCACACAAATGTTTGACTTGAGCGGGAATCGAACCCGCGACCTTTGGAATAGCAGTCCGTTACACAAACCGCTACGCCATCCAGTCGTCAATTGCCTGATGTTTGGAGTCAGTTGACCGTTATCACTAGCTGAATGTTTAGTAAAAAAAAAAAATCATTCAATATAGTGGTAATTTAGAGAGTCAAGACCAAGACCAGGAGACCAGCAGATAGATCTTACGGAGAAGAACGAATAAGAAACGTCAGGGACACTTATTTTTAACTATTTTGCACATTACATTGTGTCCATGATATTATCAGTTAGTATACCTGTTTTGGGCTTTGTTTTCAGTAAAGCGGAAATAGTATTCATTTCCTACAAATTTTTAAGCGTTTATTTTAAAGTTATCTTATAAAGACTCGAAACAGCAATGTTTAAAAGGGTAATTAAGGACAAATTTTATTGTGTAACGAATATTTTAATTGAAGGCTAGTTGACATTGCAATTAAAATATCTTTTAAACCATCGCTTAATTTTAGATGTACAAAAATGTCCATCTTGATAATTAAAATAACA